CTTTGAAGACTGTTTTTAATTTATGTACCCATGTTATCTTTATTTGTATCAAAATCAGTTTGATGAGCTGAAAATGTGTGTGGCAAAAAGCAGAAAAAACAACTCATAGATGTTATGTTTTCACAGGAAAGCGGCCAATAAAGTGATATTGTGTCATTTGTCAGATTGGCTGAGGAGTTGCACAAGAGTTGTCTTCAGTGGACTAAAAGGTTGAGTCGACCCAGAAAAAAATACCAGGAATAGTTGAACATTTGTGTCATTTGTTTAACATTTTTGTTCAACATATTTGTTCTGTTATTGATTATCTCTCACTTTAGAACAGAATTTAACAATCCTTTCCTGATAAGAATTTAGTTTGCTTACAGTAATAAGGTCTGTTTTAATGCCAGCACCACTGGCAGGTGTAAAATGTTTTTTGTTTTTTTATCGCTGCTCTCTTATGTGACTAGAAGAGAGTCACTTCAGTATTGAGGACAAGGTTTGAAATTGAAATAGTAAAATATATGTAGTTTATTATTTCAAAAAGGGTATGAAGCTTACTTTAGCAATATGTCTTTCATAAAATAGCCATATATTGAAATTACATTTCCTATTTTTACATAGTTGAATTTTTAAAAACACTGCAGACTAAAAACTGGTAGGATTATAAATTTCAGATATGCTTTAGATTGAAAACCTAAACGTTTTCTACTCAGTTGACAAGTGACATTTGAAAAAATTAAAAATCAAACTTCATGTCCGTATCTTTCACTGTGATGATGTGTTCAGGAACCCCTTTGAAGCGAATATTGATTCTAATACTTGTCTTTATTTGAACTTGCATTCCCCTTCCTTTGTTTATAAAGAGAGGATGCTCACATCCCTCTAAAGCAGGAAAATATTCAATCACATAACAAAACCTGAAACGGGATTCTATCAGACATAAACAATGATGAGATGGTTGATGCCAAGATTGATGATGTGTAAAAATCTGCTCGTTTAGATTGGCTCATATGACGTCTGTTCCGGTGAAATGACTAATCTTCCTTCGCATTGCACAGCGTGTTCCCGGTGTTACAGTCTGGGTTCTGACACAATATCGGATGTGGAGAGAAAAGATGACGGTTTAGTCACAATGTGTGAATCTAAAGGAGCTGTTCTCATCGCTCCGGACTGCCACATTCCTACTTAGTGTCGAGCAGCAGATTAATGTTTAGAACAGAGACGCTTCCTTCTAACTTATAGTGACACCTTTAAAGTACTGCCATCCTGGTATTTTGTTGCTCCTACTGATCCTATATTTTTTAACTGCTCTCTCCCTTTTTTCCCCTTTTCTCCGCCTGTGTTGCTTTCTGTGGCTGCCCGTCACATAGACGTCTTGTTCTGCAAGATTTTTTTTTTCTCCCATTTTGTCACGTTTCAGTTAGGTCTGAGTCTCTTGCAAAATATTTTCCAATTCTGAATAGATTATGATATTATCCCTACATCGATTCATACCAAAAATTATTTAAAAAATTTTTTTTTCCACTGTTCTTACAGCCGTTGTTAACTATCAGAAACACAAAGCAAAAAAACTTCAGGCTTTTTAGCACTTTTTCCAGTCTTCTAGACCTTTGGTCTAGATAATTGGAACAAAGGGACTAAACTCTGCTTCTCCATGTTTGGTTCTAGTTCTGGGTGGACAGGGTAGGCTGGAACTAGAAGACCTGAGTGGTCTGGGAGGTTGAACCACTGACCACAAATCTGTTATAATCAAATCTCTGATCCATTCAGTGATTTATAGACTATCAGGATGATTGTAAAATCTGTTCTCTGAGCTACAGGGAACCAGTAGAAGGACTTCAGAACTGGGCTGATGTGCTCTACTTTCTTAGCTCTAGTGAGAACACTGGCAGAAGCGTTTTGGATCAGCCGCAGCTGTCTGATGGATTTCTACAAAGACACTGTTGCAATGATCAGTTCTACTAAAGATAAATGCATGTAAGAGTTATTTGGGATCTTGCATAGACATTAGTCATTTAATCCTGGAAATGTTCTTCAGGTGATAAAATACTGACTTAGTAGCTGCCTTTATGTGCTTTTATTTTACCTCATGTCTGAGTACATCATGAGACAAAGAGTAATCAATGGTTTCTAGCTGTAGTATCTGAAAGTGTGAGATAACTCTGGATCTCTCCTCCTTTTTTTTTCAGTTGGAGAAAGTTATAGCTTATCCAAATATTGATCTGTTCTTTGCATCTAGACAAAGCTCTGATGGGTTAATAGTCACCTGGTGACATTGTGATGTAAAACTGTGTGTCCTCTGCATAGTTATATTCTTGTTTGCTATGATCTGAGCTAGGAATAGCATGTTGATATTAAAAAGGAAAGGGCCCCGGAATTAGGGGTGAAGCAATTAATCAGATTCATTGTGATTAATTGATTATTGATATAATCTTCAACCAATTTAGTAATCGTAATTGAACCTTCCCTGAGTCTGTTTGTGCCGCTGCAGCCATTATTACAGCCAAAACAGTTTTTGGATGCGAAAACCTGTCTGCTGTCATCCAGCAGTCATTACACTGAGATTACATTACTCAAATTTTTTTCAACCTGTTTGCTTGCTGTTGATTGTGTTTCTGGCTCTCTGGGTTTATTCACACCTCCTATGTTTGGTCAATTTCAAAAAGGCCAGAGTTGATCTTGCAGCGTGCATTCAGACTCCTGTCAAGACTTTAAATTAAAATGTCTTAAAAGTCATTTCTGTCCAGGTGGAGAAACGAGTGAAATTAACCTTACCAAATGAAAGTAAAATAAAGTTTGCATTAGACCCCACCACACAAATGGACCAAATGATTTGCATGGTGTGAATCCATCCGTGGAGTAAACATGTCTTTACCCAAACTGTTCTTCATCAGTATTTGCTGCTCACTAATCATGCTTTGAATAGATTTTCTCTGCCCATTCATCCTGTAATAGAAACATTGCGTATTCATAGCTTTCTACTTTTGGTAATTGGTTGCCATAAGATCTGCTCTCTGTGATTTGATTATACAGAAATAAAAACAAGATAAAGCCTGACAGGAAGGCCTTTGAGGCCTTCCTCTCCAAAATGCCTCATTTTTATCACTTATAAGGGAATAGAGAACACTGTGGAAAATTAGATTCTGAAGCTACTACTTTTATTTTTAGTTCTCTAACCCTTTCATGGTGAGGCCAGTTACCAGTTGTATATTTTGGCCATTTTTTTTTAGCTCTAAGTGAACCTAATGAGAGTCTAAACAAGGAGCAAACCACTATCAACATTCTGCATGTTTGTTTCATCCACTCCTCTGTCTTTGCTGCCCTCTCCGGCTCATTTGGGATGATGTCAGACAGATTTTCAAGCTGTGACTAAACACTTTTGCAGACAATCCAGAGCCAGTAGCAGGAAGGGGCGGAGCCTACACTTCTCATTTCCTTTGCCACAGGAAGCACATTCCAGACAGCAGTAACAGTCAGAAAGTAGTAATGATTTCTAGCCTCCAAGAATTTCTTAGAGTAAATCTTAAACAGAGCTGTTTTAGGATTAATTACTCTTTGTATGAATGTGCAAATGTTCTAAATTTCTGAATCTTTTATTTGAGTGCTGCTTTATTGTATTAAGATCTTTAGAGCTGTAATTTAGAAGAAAATACACACCCAGAAATTGTTAGGCTAAGTCTTGGTCACTCCAAAAGATTCTAACAAAAAAGATCTGAAGTGTGTAAAATAATAATTATTCCTGATGTGTTGTTCACTCTGTAGGATTTATCGTGTTAAGGAAGTTTAAATAAAAAATTCCTCTTCATCTGTCTTTTAAGCATTAAAGCTCCTCTGACATTGACCAACTTTGCCCTATGAATGTAGATATATATGTTTATGTAAGTGTTTACTTTAGGTCATTAAATAAATATGTATTTTTCATAGAGGTCGGCATAGATTTTTTTTTTTTAAATCTAGATTAATCTCACCATAATCTTGGAATTAATCTAGATTAAAATGGCTCATTTGAATTCTGCCAAAGGGATTCATGAATAACAATCAGAATTACTTTATTAATCCCTAGAAGAGGGAAATATAAGATTGTAATACAAATAAGAATAACATAAGATAAGGATACAATTAAAATCAGATTAGCACAAGAAGAAAATAAGATAAGGATGAGAATAAAATAAGATGAGGATTGTGCTACCTAAATGATAAGTAAAAGTATGTCTTTGAACAGGTTTTTGAAGCCAGGTGGCGCATTAGACCAGGGCCTCATCTCCTGTTTGCATCACATAGTATCACTAATCCAACATTTTCAAAAAGTGTCCCAATTTACCCACATTCACCAAAGCAATCATCAAGAAGAAAACATAATGTTGTGGGAATCATTCGTGGTTAAATGTAATTTAAAATTATATAACATCTGCCACTTAAAGCGAAGGAGTGAAGTTTCCAGCTGGCATCGATGAGGTGTACAGTATCAGCGAGGTAGTTGTCATTATTGATAGATGTCCAGTGGTGCCCCATTAGTGCTAAACATGTCGCCTCGACCAACTTCTCATCTTTAGCAGCTTTCTCTAAGGTGTGCTGGTCATGTATTCTCTTCATGATAGGTCGCCTCGCAGGTAGTTAGTTACATGGGTCACCTGTAGCCACCTGGAGAACAAGCTTGTCGCCATGGTCGTTCTTAAAAAAAAATTTTCTCTTAAGCAAACCTAGGGGGTTTATAGCTGCTTCCATGTTGACACGTCACATTTGATGTGTTAGCAGTAGGCCTACACACAAGACTGATTTGTTCAACCCCCCCAGATATACATCCGTGCTAAGTCATAGCTATAGACCCAGCTCCCAAACCAACTTTGAGAATAGATTAACATCAAATTTTTTTTATCACCCGATAGGAGTCTGGTGTTAACGGCCGACCACCAATTTTTTAGTTTTGCCAAATTAGATTTTTTTCCTATGTTTATCTGTTGTGTTTTTCTTTTAATAGTTCTTGTTTTCATTATTCTGTGACTCCTTTGCTTTGTTAGGGTAAGGGCAAAGGTTTGGTGAAGAACACTGTGCTGGAGGAGCAAGATGCCCAGAACCTGGAGATTGTTGCCTTTTGTAAAGACTTGGGAAGGTAAGATGAAATCACTTCTATCAGCAGTACAATAACATTTCTACAATATAACTGCATGTCGGATTATATTCTATATTGCCAAAAGTATTCACTTTGTCAAAAAAAAAAATTTACTCTTTTTTTTTTTTAAACGTGTTCATGGAAATTTTAAAAGAAGTTATTTTTTTCATACAGAAATATTTTTTAATTAATATTGTTTGTTTTTATATATTTATACATTTTAAGGGACAGTTCATCCCTAAATGCACGTTAAACTATAATTAGATGTTCCAGGCATTATTTTTAGATTTTACTTCACATTAGCCCTGCTTTTGTGTCTAAAATGGCCTCTTTGGCACCCACATTAGGTTAAAAAGGAGTTACTGCATCCGGTTTTTGCTACTGGCTGAGGCAGGGGTGTGATTTAGCAGGACTGGCATCAGCAGCTCTATCGTGGCTATTCGCTTAGAGACTAACAATAAATTAAAAGATTTTCTTACAATCGGAGAAGAAAATTTCACATTATTCAAATAATGAAAATATTAAATGCATTAAATTGGATAAATACAGTCTGTATCATCTTTCTAGTCTAGTATAAGGGACCCTAAAGCTCTTTAAAAAAACATTCATTTTGATATTTCTATGAAATGGAAAATTTATTAAAATTAGACCGAAAGGAGTTTGCCTTATCTTTGTAGTGCCAAATAATTTGGCATTCACTTTGTATCAATGGGTCAGAAGACATAACATTGGTTTATTCTTGATTATATGGATGTTTGGTTTGGATATTTGAGGATGTTCTGTATTAGAACCACTGTATGTGGGAGGAGAGAGCAGTGTCCATAAGCTCTAAGCCAGAAGCTCAAACCAGTACACTCAGTGTTGTGGGATCTTGTAGAGAACCTCCCTCTGTTCCCCCAATTTCCTCTGTCTCTAGTGAAGGTGGTGGAGAGAGATCATCCAACTCTTAATATAGTTCAGTCACAAAACGATCATCACGTGGATTGTTCTGCTCACCATGTTTGTGTCGCTGTAAAGTGCCACTATCAATCATAGTGCTGCCTTCTATTGGGAGGATGTACATATATTATAAGCGGACAGAAGAAGAAGAAATCAAAATAATAAATAATAAAAAAGCCACAACTTTTGTTTACATTTTTAACAAAGTTCTGAATTCCCATCTGTAATTTAAAATGCTAATTTTATCAACTGATAACTAAAGGTAAAAATCTAAAACAATAAATCATGGAACCAGCATTTTGTTTGCAATCCATATATAAATAATCGCAACCTTGAATCAGTTCAAGTATCAAAATGCAGCATCAGTGCTAATGGGAAAATAAGAAATAAAACATTAGTTTGTCTGTAGTAAATTAAAGGATGAAATATAGCAGAAACTTTTTTTGCTTCAATTATTGAAGCGTTTGCAAATGGCAAATTTCTAGATGCATGTGCACTGGTTCTGCACAGCATTTCTCCCCACAGTATTTGGTTTGGGTGGAGCTCTGATGAGACCGTGCTCACTGCATGTGCTTTCACTATGAACACTTATGTCTGACAGCATCTCCACATCCTGGGCGGTCAATTAACATTTGGAAATGTGACATAGGAAAAACTTTCTTAATATTTGATCAGATAAGCTAGGTTTCAAACCATTTGCCTCACCTGGACATTCTGCTCTCAAGTATTTACATTTTAATTCTTCCATGATTTATCTAGAGGCCTATTCCATATCATCTGATTAATGCACCAGGCGGGCTTTTTCCATGCTGTTCAAGAAGACAAATGTATCTAAAAGTAAATGTGTTGATTTTCTTTCTCTTCCAGCCTACGTTCCAAATTCCCTCACAGCGACATAGGAACTAACCCTGGCTTCGTCCTAAGCCCCGTCATCACGCAGAGAGAAAGTGGAACCGACAGCAACTGCTCTGTCAAGGTTTCTATTGAAATCCCTGAATCTCAGCAGCCTGTAACTTTCACCTGTGATGGTAAGCATCTCATAAGTTAGCATGAATCAACATTTTAACCAGTAGCTTTCTTTGAATCAGTTAAGGAAAATAAAAATGAGCATGAGTAGAAGTTAAATGTTGGGATGTGGTATGATGTATTATTTGAATGTTCTAAGCTGGTTAAGTCTTCAAGAGACGGCAAAAAAATCTCTAATTTTATGTTATTGTGACACTTGCCAATATTTATGCATTGTCAGATATGCTGAATGCCTAATACAGAGATGAAGCCATCTTGAGACATTTTCTCACCCTTTTCCCTTTAATTGTGAGGAGTTTAGATGTCCAGTTAGGGATGCTAGAAAGAAAGCACAAGCCAAGCTGCCAAATAACTCCTCACTCTTGTTCTTTATCTTTCCTGCTGTGTTGTTTCTTTGTGGAAAAATGCATTTTCTCGACAATCAGTCCTCAAACTGCATTGAGGTGCAACCCTTAGCAAAGTTTGCTGTGCTTCATCGTGTTTTTCAAAAATTGTGAGGCAGATAAATAAAATGTACTTGGGTTTATAAACCTCTTACTAATGCAGATCTTAAAAGTGTGGCATGTATCTACATTCTAACCTGCTCCAATGCCTCTAATTAAATCCTCAGGTGGCCAATTGAGATCAGAGGTCTCCTAGTTAGCAAGCAGAGTTTATTTAAACTGTTCATATTCAACTCTACAATAATAACCAATTCCCTGCTCTACCTCTGTGACCGCTTAATTTATGTAACCTGTTTTCTTACTCTATTGTATTTCCTTCTTTAGCTTGATGCATTTTTAGCAGAAAGGATGAAGGTACCAATGGTTTAAGTAACTTTGATAATTCGTTGCTTGTGCTAACATTCTTAGTAAAAAAATCTCTCTGTTTCTGATGGGCCTCTCTGAAAAGGCCAGCTCTGACTACACCTCATAGTAATTATAGTCCCTATATTCCTCCATCTACAGTGCACCTGATTCATCTTTTAGGATTGCTGCAGTCTGTCCAGGTTTGCTTCCCTTTCCACCTAAACATCACTACCCCACTCTCTAGCTAAAATCAGTTTCCCTGTTTCTTTTGTTTTTATTTAGTGTAGAGCAGTTTTGTCTTCAGCAATGTGTTGACCTACATTGTTGAGGTCTGCATTTGTCTAATGGGACAAAAATCCTCTCTTAGAAACAATGGGCCTCAGTTCTGGCCTTCATGAAGGGAAGTGAAGACATCCAATTGAAATGGGTCTGATTCTGCATTTTTTTTTCTGTTTATCCTTTTTTTTAATTTAACTTTATCAAACAGAGGTTTTCAAATCTCTGTTTTTGATCTCTTCTTACAGTTTCTTTAGTTTTTTCATATCAACTTTTATGAGCTGCAACTGTGTCCCTAATTGTGTAGAATTGTTATTTTTGCAAAGGACAATAGAACCCTCCCTTCTCTGGCTGATTTTAAGATATTATCGGTTAAGTTACAGTGCAGAAAAATAAGCTGCAGTAATCAAAGATCTTTGTGCAAGTTTTTATACAGATCTTGCAGAAAAGATTAAATCTTCATGAGCCTGGAAATAAAATGCTGCTGGATGTGAGGATTCTTTACATATTGTGGCTGAGGAGAGGAGAGAGGAAGGAGGAAAGCAGTGCACTAATGAAACGAAGAAGAATGTTTAAAGAGAGGGGGAAGGGAGTTAAGGAGACATGAATTTATAACAAAGAAAAGCCAAGGACATATTTCTGGAAATAGTTTGGAGAAGTTGCATAAAAACAATGATTTTAAGCGTAATGGAGAAGACGAAAAGCAATGATGTAAAAGCTGGGTTATGTGCTACTGGCTGCTATATAGAAATGTTTGGGATACAACAAAACTATCAGCTTTTTTATAGCTTTTTTAGAAAAAGCAAGGACTACTGGCTCTAAGTTTGTTTTTTTTTTGTAAAGGCTGTGAACTATCAGAATTATTTCCTCTTAAAGAAGAAGATTTATTGCAAAGCTTAGAGTTTGTTCAGACACATTCAGCTTTGATTAGATCCTGGAAGGCTGTATGTTTGTTTTAACTTGTTGGGTAACATGGCAGCAGTTATCTTTGTTAGATGCAGCTGTGGGCAGTATTGAAATATTTGATTATTCAGAATAAAAAGAGGGTGAAAATCTGCCAAAGCAGATAATGTTCTTTATCATTCGCACACATGAAGGAGTCCCTAAGGAGGGTATGGCACTGTTCAACTGTCTGAAGTAGATGGAATAATAATCAGTGTTTCATCTGCTTAAAACTCCAACTTTAGAAAGAATTATATAATGCACAGAGTCTAGAATTATGTGATTTGTTTTCCCTTCTTTGTTCTTCCTCCCCATCCTTCTTCACCGTAGCAGTAAAGGTGACTTTTTGGGTGTTTAGATTAAATAGGAGTTTCCCTCCTCTTATAAAGACGACACATATCAATACTGCTTCTGTTTTAAATATTTATATTACTGATATTGCAAATTATCTTTATTAAATTTGTTATTTTTGTATGGAACTCAGAATGTTGTACATCACTCTTATGACTTAAAGGAATAGTACACCCAAAACATGATTAGCCTTCATTTTCTACTCACCTCCATGCTGAACAACACTCTGGAGTACTTTTTTGATATCTCAAATGCATCTGGAGATCTGGGAGGCTTCTTGCTGTCTGCTGACATTCAAATAATGGAGGTCCATGGCGCCCGAGACAGAAAGGTCCATAAAAGTCCACAAAAACGTGTCAATATTCCTCCATACTGCTCGTCCAATGTAATCCAAGTGTCCTGAGTGGGTAGCATCCAGAATTTACTCGAAACGAAGTCATTTAGAATGTTTTTAGAGCATAAACAGTAGTGTATAGGATTTCCTAATAGCGCCCCCATGCGCGCTCACGATTCTACGGAAGCCGGCAGACCAAACCGGAAGAAAGTGCGCATTCAGCGTCTGGTCTGCCGATAATGCAAGCGTAGAAGAAGAAATGTGCTGTTTACCTGTGCAAAGAAAGAAACAACGAAAGAAAAATGTCTGAGGACTTCAGTGTTGAGGAAGAGCATGAGTTCTTTGCCGAGCTGAATGCGCTGGTTTGGTCTGCCGGCTTCCGTAGAATCGTGAGCGCGCATGGGGGCGCTATTAGGAAATCCTATACACTACTGTTTATGCTCTAAAAACATTCTAAATGACTTCGTTTCGAGTAAATTCTGGATGCTACCCACTCAGGACACTTGGATTACATTGGACGAGCAGTATGGAGGAATATTGACACGTTTTTGTGGACTTTTATGGACCTTTCTGTCTCGGGCGCCATGGACCTCCATTATTTGAATGTCAGCAGACAGCAAGAAGCCTCCCAGATCTCCAGATGCATTTGAGATATCAAAAAAGTACTCCAGAGTGTTGTTCAGCATGGAGGTGAGTAGAAAATGAAGGCTAATCATGTTTTGGGTGTACTATTCCTTTAATATGTTTGCCTTTTTTATATTACCTAGTAAACAGAATTTATTAAAGGCACACCGTGGACTCTGTGACCTAAATAGTTGATGCATATGAGTTATTTCAAATGATTCCTCAGGCCAATATACAGTACTTGACACTATCGATGCTACGAGCGGGGGTCCCCTCTTAAAATAGAGACTATGTAAGTTGGGAGAAGGCGCACAGTCGTTGGCCACGTCATGTGACCTGGAAGAACATATCACCACAGCCACAGGTTGTTATATCGGTTCTTAGAGCTTTTCCTCTACTATTTTTCCGCCTGCTCGACTAGTGGTCATGGCACCAGCAAGGAAAAAGTTTAAACCTTCTGAGGAGGCTAAAAAGAGAAAACGTGAAAGAGATCGTGCACGATTTAAAACAAGAATCGATCTTGGAAAGGAGTTTATTCGTTGGCACAGGCTGAAAGAAGAAGCCGGATATAAAGGCGATTCTCTTTTCTCAACTTAATTATTAGACTGGTAAGTTAGCACTTTGCTCCTAGTATACAGTCATATATCTTTATTACTTTTGATGTTTAGTAGAAGAAAAATGCAGGCAGAGAAAGCTAGCAGGCTACAAACAAAAGCTAACCGAGATGCCCCATCCAAACCAGTAGCTGATCACTGGAGCTCCACCGCTGGTCCTATACGCGGCGTGGTCCGGCGTGCCCCGGCAGTGCTCTCCAGAAAGCAGCAGGGTTTCTCACGTCCTCCGAGCTGAATCTGGGCGCCTAGCACAGTACCCAATCAAAAGACACGGGAGGCTGGCCGACTGACTGTTTGTTGACTTTTGTGACAGTGCCACCAGGTGCGCTAAACATGAAAGTTATAAATTTAGCGCCCCTAGTGGCCAAACCTTACAGGATGTATGCCTAACTAGGGCTGGGCGATAATTCAATAACGATATATATCGATCGATAGACGTGTGGCGCAATAGAAAAAAACAGGGTCGATAAAAGTTCGATAAAGAAAAGCAGTTTTCCTTCCTTCTCATTGTAGCCTAGCATGTAGGTTTATGCTAGTCACTGCTTCCTCCCAACCAATCACAATCGCGGACCCAGGCACGCCGTCACCAAGCGCCGCCCTCTCAAACCACAACACAGAGCACATGAAGATGTCGCAGCAGGAGAGGAGGAGGAAATTGTTCCAAAGAAGGGTTTTTGTAGTTCGCCAGTATTTCGGTCATGGCAAGTCGGACAAAAAACAAACCACAGTCATCTGTAAAATGTGTCGGGAACCAGTGAAAACGAAGTCTGATAACACAACCAACTTTTTTTTATCATCTCAGCCGCTCACACCCGCAGGAGTACGAGCTGTGTAGGCCCCGACGCGGCTCTCCTCCGAGGAATCTTCGGAGGAATATAGATAGATAGATAGATAGATAGATAGATAGATAGATAGATAGATAGATAGATTCATTCAGTTCGGGGCACGTAGTTCTAACAATTGAGAGAAAATGCTGAGGGGCCAGCAACTTCAAAGTAATAACTCAGGTAAAAGCAGGAAACTAAGCTGAACCATAACGAGGTGCCCGCAGCACCTCTAGAAGAATAGGGGTGAGAAATAATACCCCATAGAAATGCTAGGCTAAAGGTTGAGTTGATTTGGGTTTTTGTTCTTGTTGAGTGAAGTTTACATGGTAGCCTAGTCCTACAATCTTTTTAATTACCACAAGCTGGTGGTGTACTATTCCCACCCAAATAGGGTATTCTATTTATGTATTTGTTATATTTATTTTGGTCACTTTTCTGGTCACTTTAGTTTATTCTTTGTCAGTATTTAATAACATAACTCAGGTCTCTTAAGTTATTTTTCTTTAAAACAATTCTGTTATGGTTAAAAAAGTTGGTTAAATAAATATTTAAATGGAAGTCTGTGTTTGTGTTCTTTATTAAAATTAAATCATTTAGCAATATCATAAAAAGTCCAGGCAGAGTTGCACATAAAATATGGTTTCAAATCTTTTCAATAATTATCGATATCGATCAATATGCATTTTTTTTTTATTGATAATCTTTTTTTCTATATCGCCCTGCCCTATGCCTAAGTCAAAATTGAACAAAGTTAATTTTATTTTATTTTTTTTTTTTTTATGGATTTTTGAAAACAGAAAAATATTTACCCAGAAAATGGCTCATATCACATTTAGCTGTTCTATGCAAGTGGACAAACACGGTTTTGTTTTTGTCCTTGTTGGGCGTCCTAAGTAACCCTCAGGTTTTAAAATAGAACATGATATGAGGTTTTACCCTCTAATTTAAAGTGCTGGAGTGTTTGAGAGTAACTTTATTTTCAAGTCTTGGCTCAATTTTTCAACTTTTTATTTAAAGGAAATAAAATCTATTACAATAACAGCTATTTGAAAACAATAACTAGTTAGTTTTTCTTAATAGGTCAAGTTTTTACTTAGGGAAATTATTATCTTAAAGTAAAAAATAAGGGTAACATGTTTTGCCATCTTGTCCATTGTTGGAGGTTAGTATTACAGGTTTTGAAAATACTTAGCTGTGAAAATATTTTAATATTTCAACCTTATCCCTTTTATGTGGAATTAGTTCAGATTGTGTTTGTTTGCAAGGTTGTTTTTAGTTGCACTTTATTCAGGTAAACTCCGAGAAGGCATGATTGAAATACGAGCAAGTTTTCTAAAAGTATAATTTGTTCAATTTGTTCTGGTTTTGCATTTTCCAGTGAAAGGTTAAAAAAAAGCAATTCATCAGCATAGATGTCCGATTTTGAATTGTAAACATAGCTGCAGGTTCTTGTTGTCTGTTTGCTTGTGTCTGCTTCCATCTCTGCATCCACGTCTTTAAAACTGTTTGTCTGGTTAATTTATCACATATTAAGTAACTTCTGGTTTTACTCACCCTCTCATCTTGCTTAAACCATAAAAGCAAACCTGTTTTATAGCTGCTAGAGGTAGGCTTGGTCAAACTTTAGTTTAAAACACCCGTGTATTGATCTGTATTGTTAGCAGAACTGCTGCTAGTTCTATAGCAGAGAGAAAAATCCATTCCTCTGAAGGGTGGTGGTCTGTTGATGCTGGAGTCAGAGGTGGTCTCTGCTGTTTGCCTGTGAAGTAACCCGAGCAGAGATGCCGAGTCCAAAGCCCAAATGTTCCAGGCTGCGAACTCTCTATCCCTCTTTGCCTCTGAGCCTGTTTGTCTGAGTTTGTGGATTATCAGCAGCGCTCCGCTCCCAGTCTTCTGCTGTGTGGATGCTGAGCTCTCCTCCCTCTCAGTCAGTGGGATTACACAGAAGTCCTAAGAACACATATATTTCTGATGAACAATATTTGTCTAATATAACCTGGTATGTTATTCTAAAGTTGGATAGATGTTATGTTTCGCACATAAAAAAAAATCAACATTTCAGCAATTAAAATTCTTTGTGCTTATTTTGGCAGCTTTCACACATAAGCCAGTATTAATGGAACATTTATAGCTGTCAAATTTTGCTTTGGGTGTTTTTGTTATTTTTTGTGCTATCAGCCAAACATCTGATCTTTCCTGGTCTAATTCAGGACAGACACTAGTACAAGACGCAAAGTTCTTTATTAACACAAAAATTTTACGTTGAATCTTTACTATGATCTATATCAATCTTTACCATGATCTACCAAGAACAAGAAAACAACTGCTAAAAATTATGATATATTCATTTTGTTTTGTTTATTCTACATATCACATTTACTTGTTTGTATATTGATTTGGATTCAAATATTTTTCAAATGAACAAGCATATTCTCAGGAATGTATTAGTACTTTATTAGTTCTGCTCTTCATAGAGTCCCTGAGGATTCTTCAAGGCCTCTAACAGCCAGCTTGGAAAATCAAGTGAACCAGGGGTGGCCGGAGACCAATGCTGGACGCTTGCGAAATCATGCACTGCTTGCACATTCTCAGCAGTCAAGAAAATCTATGCAGCACTTAGAATAAACGCCAACATCAACTGTAAATCATACCCATTAGACAATGTCTGTACAATTGTAAATGTTTCTATCATCCCTTCATTTATTTTTTTAACTTAAAACCAATATTATCAGAAAATGCTGTTTTTTTATTTCATTACATAATAGAGAGAAATGGAAAACAGTTCCTTTTTTCATTGCTATAGGCCTACTAAATAATTATATATAAACAAAATGAGCATCCCATCTATATAAGCGCGATTACAAATCACCTCAGCCTGCTGAACTCTGTATGTGCAAAGTGGCATTATGTAATAAACAAAATCAGCTGCTCTGACACACGATCTACTCTTTAATAGCAGTTTTAAAAAATCACCATAAAGTCAGTTTTATAATGAGAACATCAGGAAATTTAAGAGGATAAATATATTTAAATGCCTGTGTCCTTAGGGAAAAAAAAGAAACAAAATGAGGCTGATGTCTTTATTTAGTGCATCATTCATCACTTCAGCATAGGCTTAAATCCAATAGGGAGAAGAATTTGTGGTGGTCCATATTATTTCTAGGCTTCCAGAATAATAAACTCATCGCTTTTTAACAGCCCTGTTATCCAACCAGCACATAGCTGATGACTCAACTGTTCACCGCCTAGCACGATGCTCTGTGTGACTTTTTTTTTCTTTTGCTCTGATAAGTCAGGTTTGCTCTGATCGATGCAAAAAAGAATATCCCTGATTCAGAAACCCAAATCTTAGTACTTTTTTTTTATGATTCTCATAAATTAATAAAGTAATTCTACACATTCTTGTGTTTATATTCCCCAAAATATATATTTTTTTATGCTTATACCAGATGGATGACGGCCAGTATGAACACATGACATGTATTAGGCTACTTTCTATTTATTAATGTGAAAAAAAGTAATGTCTGCAAGGTGTATTTTCTCGTTTCTTCCAGAGCAGAACTCTCGCATATCTTAAGAACAAGATTGTTTTCATTTTTCAAATCAACTTATATTAAGAAAAAACTCATGGAAATTGATGCTGTAATCTTATTGTTTAATATGATATGTACATTTCTATGATCCAGGGTTTATAACAGGTGTAATATTGGTGTGTGGCCAGAGCTAGCACATCTGATGTAATACACATGGGTCCTTCTGTGTTTATGCTCAGTAACATAAAAAAAAATTCTTCTTAATGCCTTTGACTTGTATATCTTCCCTTTCTCTCCTCTCCAGTGAGTTCTCCAGTAGAGCTGTTGATCAGTCAGACTCTCTGCTGGGTTCATGACGAACTGGACCAGGTAGACTTCTCTAGTTATTTGCTTAAAGTCTGTGGCCGGGACGAAGTCCTGCAGAAGTGAGTATTTCCAAAGTAACCCCCCTTTTATTAGGATTTACATGGTTTTCTTTTTTAATGTTTGCAAAATTCCCTCCATTTTTCTGCCTGGTATCAGTTTGAACAATTCATTTTTATGGCTTTTGGTGTTTTTATTAGTTGAGCCTTAATTAATGTATTCATATTTGCTCTGAAAATGATTATTACCCATATTTTCTCTGAGACCCATTAAAGGCAAAGCAGGAAAAGGGGAAAATTAACTGACATCCAATGTAATTCTAAACAGTTCCATTAATCTTGCGGTGCCTTTAATCATTGACTCTTTTCCTGCTTCCTGTATTGATGAATCCTCAGAAACCTGTTTAAAGTTCCTACAGTTTTTCATTAACTGCTTTGATCACTCATGTCCCTGGATTTCTATGAAGTTAGTCACTAGTGCTACTGTTTTTATAACAGATGGAGCCAGTGGATTCTAAGAAGGTGGAAGAGCTTTATATCAGCATGAAAACATTGTCTTGTCCAACCGCTTATGTTCCAAAACATTTTTAAGAGAACTTTTTTAGTTTTTTAAACATTGTTTAAAAGCATTAAGCATTTATCTTATTTTATATTAAATAAAATGACTATGTATCACACTGTGAAAACCAGTCCAATATGGCTGCAGTATAAAGACAATGGATGAAAGAGTGATCAGAGCTTTTTAAACCAAAAACTGAACATCTATGACATTAATTCAACTTCTCTTAATATGTAAGAATTTCCGAACAAATTCTATTCAATCTAAATTTAACATATGTTGGTCAATAACTCTTTAACTAGGCTAGTGATATTTAACTAAAGCGGAACTGATATGATTATTAAAAACAGATGAACCAGGTACAAATAAAAATGGTTAAACAAAAAAAAAAAAAAAAACACATCACAGTTCAGCCTGGATCAGATGTTTGAGAACTGAAGTTTATCAGAAAGAGTTTAAAACAGCAGATTAGAAATCCAATTTGTCTGTTTTTAAAGCAACCCAAAATCAACACCAGAAGGGTAAAATTTATTTTATTAAAAATAGTGGTTCAAATAAGGATTTTCCAGATTAGAAATAAATACATTTTCAACATTTGATTTCAATTACTGTGTTGAATAGCTCTATAAATGGTCAGAATGAGTCATGGACTAATAATGCAAACCGGATGTATGTATTTGTCACTTCAATGCTCAGTAATACTTCATTAATTCCAAAGGGGAGTTAGATGTTGCTGTAACTAAAACTGACACAATCAATTAATCATTAATCAATTATAAATAATCTTAAACTAATTTAATGATTGATTTAATGTTAGGTGGAGAATATACAGACTCCAAATCATGACTTTTGCTGAAAAAAAACAACCAACTCAGAGCAGTAATTACGCCAAAACTAAAAACTAAAAAATTTATTTTAAATAAAAAAATCCTTTTTAAATATGGTCTAAATATGGTCGAACCAGAACTCCTCCAGCTGCGTAGTTGTATCTTCAACTAGTTCAAATTCTGTAAAAACATAAAACCTCCTGTGCTGCACCTTTTTCTAATTATATAGTCGACAAATAAATAACTGATTAATCGATTAGCAAAACAACCATCATTATAGCGCTCTAGCCTGCAATTCTCTCAGGTCTTTCTTTACCAAGTTATTTTCTGATGCTCATGCATGTTGGCAGGAAGGATGTGTAATAAGCGACATGGCTAAAAATGAAATGTTTATATCTAGACCTGT